AAATTGGCCTCAATGATTTGGGATCGAGGGGGATTATCCCTCTTTATCCTGCCTCATCTCGTGTAGGCCTGGACAGCCTTCGTAGGTGGGCCCCATCCGTCGTCTACCCCGACCGCAAATGCGGCCGGTGTAGGCGCTTTTGTGGGACCTCCTTTTGTCCTGGTGGGCCCCGCCGGCTAGGGCCCTTTCTTCTGGCGCTCTTCTTGCTTCGCCGGCTCGTCTGTGTAAACCCCGGGGGGTGGTGTCATGTTTATGTGTGGTATGGTTGGGTAGGGTAGTGCGGCTATGCAGCCTGGGATGCGCTTTGCTAAGGTGACCCCAATAACCGGTAAGAAAAAGACTTATGCGCGTTGAAGCCCTGAAACACAGTATGTTCGAGCCATGCATGCTTCTTGAGCCTTAAACCCTATAACTCCGAAACTCCATAACCCGGTGAGAACGAGACATTCGTTGGGAGCGCTTTATTAACGTGTGTTCCCCTTATCTCACACTTTTTGGGGTACTTTATTAAAGTGAGGTTCCCTGGCCTCTCACTTTTCGGGGTACTTTTTGAAAATGTGTTCCCCTTGTCTTACACGAATAGCAATGATGTCCGAAGATTTGACTCATAAGAGTTCATACAGAAGACATTACTTATGAGGTTATGGGGTTATTAAAGAGTATAGGCAACGAATATTGACCTCTTATAGAAGAACGCTTATAGGTTACAAGTCAAGGACGAAATTGAAATGCACGTAGAGCCTATCTTGGGGGACTTTAGATGTCCCCCAAGATTACATAGGAGAAACCTATAACATACTGTACAGGTCCCCTAAGATTTCGTCCTCGATTTCCAACCATGAGCGTTCTTCTATAAGAGGTATTCGTTGGTATAGGTTTAAAACATGCATGGCTCGAACATACCGTGTTTCAGAGCTTCAACGCGCATAAGTCTTCTTACCTTGTTCTGGGATTTTGGGGTTATGGCATTTTGAGGTTATGCGGTTTAAGGGTTTAAGGAATTAATGGGTTAAGGAGTTATGTGGTTATGGGGTTATTGGGATTGAGTGGTCAATGGATAGAAGATTTATTGCATTTTTGGGCCTATTTTTTGAGGTTATGAAAAATCCTGACGTGATGGGGTTAAATGGACCCCGAGCTATGTTATATAATTGAAAGTAAATATCTGCTAAATTATGTATTAGTACATAAACCCCTGCCGTAGATACTAGGAATATGATCCCAACATGGGAGTAGCTATGGGGGGAAGTGGTAGAAAAAAGATTTGCGTGGCTTTAGAATCAAAATCAAAACGTGTTCAAATTGCTGATTGCGAGCGAGAGCTTTTTTAGATGCCCTCATAGAGCTTGCGGCCCTGGGCACACTCCAATAAAAAATTGTAGCTGGGCCCATGGATCCCAAAAGTTATAGGCTACTGGATGTGCTGAAAACTTCAACACTATAACTTCTAATGATATTTTGAAGAAAAAGCATTTGGTACCACAAGAAAATTATGTGGTATTTTTTCCTAGAAACACGATTTTAAATACAATAGCAACAAGAAAACTGCAAACAAATCATTGGCGTAGACATATATATATATATATAACGGTTTTTTCGAATTTCCAACTTTTCCAATTGTATTACTCCAATAATTCTGACCTACATTGTCCAACAGGACGTTCTTTTCACCTGACCCTAAATAAGTTTGTTAAATAAATAAATGGAAACAGCTCTTACATATTTACATTTCCAAGACGTACAACAAATTTCGCACGTTAGTATAGTCTTTTCGAATTCAGTTGAACATGTACAAAAAAACGAGCAATTAAATTTAATGAGTTTCATAGGCCTCCTTAAAAAAAGTTTTCTGCTAAAGGTAAAAAATTATAATAATTTGTATATAATGTGTAGAAAATTTCTATTATACAGTACGCGCCTAAAGTATGGAATAAACTCAGTAAAAACGAAACAAAATTTTTTTGGGAAAAATCCTCGAACAGGTCGATTTTTAATTTAAAAAATACATATTTTAGCATAAAAGGCGATTTTCAACCGTCATTTGTTTTCGAGTAATGACGTCATCGACATTTTTTTTTAAATAGCAACCCCCTATTTTTTTTAGTATTAAAATGTTGCCATGTTACATAGGACAGTTTTCGAGTAAATGACGATTGAATGTTAGAAAACGTAAATTGTATTCATTAAAAAAATAACAATTCCTATATTAAGCAAATACAATTCATTAAGTTTTCTACCTAAATTAAGTGTTCGAATTGCTACCCACCGACTTCTTGGCAATACGCAAGTCTGTGTAAAAATTCTTCTTGCACATTATGAATTATTTCTGGGGTAACTCTGCGTATTTCATCTATAATACAATTTTGGAGTTCTTCTAAATTGTGTGGTCTATTAACGTTTACTTTGGACTTTAAGTAGCCCCATAAGAAATAGTCCAGGGGTATAAGATCTGGGGATCTCGTGGGCCATTCCATGGGTCCTCGTCTGCCGATCAACCTCCTAGGAAAACAATTGTCCAGAAAACCTCGAACAGGGCTCGCATAGTACGGAGGTGCATCGTCTTGCTGAAACCACAGCCTAGCTGAAACCATATGGTGTCATCAGGAATATCAGGGCCATTATCGTTAGGAAAAATTACTGCAAGCACTCGAACAAGGTCATTTTGTAAAAACTCTAAATATCTTTCTTCTGTAAGGGTTCCTTCAAAGAAGAAAGGCCCCACTATTATGTTGTCAACTATTCCAGCCCACACATTTAATTTTTGTGGGTGTTGGGTATGTGTCTCTGCCATCCAATCAGGATTTTCCCGACTCCAATACCTGCAAGTTTGACGGTTCACTGTACCATTGAGACAAAACGTGGCCTCGTCTGAAAAAAGTATTTGCCGGTGTAAATTTCTATTTACTTGACATAAATCCTTCATAATTTCACAAGTGTAAGCGGTGGTCGGGATCGTCTTCATTGAGTTCCTGCAAAAGTTGAATTTTGTAGGGATGATATTTTTCCTGCCTCATGATACGTAGCACTGTAATCTGACTAATTTCATTGTTTAATGCAACCAATCGAGAAGTATTATGAGGATTATCTACCATACCTATCAAAATGTTCTGTTTGTGATCTTCACTAACGCTTGGACGTCCAGGTTTTGGAATATCTAAAACATTGCCAGTTTATCTAAATTTAGATTCTATCTTACTGACTAGATCTGGATGTTTTTCATTAAATAAATCGCAAACTTTCTGCTGCGTTCTAGTGTTAACTCTGCATCCGTTAAGAATTAAAATTTAAATTCTTTGTGTGACAGTTAAATGTGCCATAATACTTTAAATTCATCAATAATTTTTATATCGCTTACAATACTTAGAAAGTCGGTATGATAGTGGCACTTTGTAAAGATTTACACATACGTGATCCATAAAAAACTTCAGGCATTTCGAAAAACTAAATTTGATAACGTTTTTGCTTTATTTTAATTGATTTGGGTTTTGTAACATTCAATCGTCTTTTACTCGAAAACTTTCCATGTAAGATGGCAACAT